ATGTCTGGCTGGACACCGCCGCGCTGAGGCAGAGCGCGGCTCAGGTGGGTGCCGGAGGGGTCGGGGGCTGCTGCGGGCCCGGGAGAGCGTGTGGCCCCCGTGGAGTGGGAGGGGCGGCGGTGGTGGGAGTTAGGAGAGGCTGTTGCGGGAGTATTTCGGGAGGTGCGAGAGGGACGGGACGCCCGTGGGCTCCTTCCACCTCGGCCGTTCTGTGGTGGTGTCACAGGAGGAGCTGAAGCGTTTCACAAAGGCGGGCATTATGCCACAACGTTGGAAGTAGAATTGTTTTTAATGCGTATATTCGCTTTCCGCTTGCTTCTTTCCCTACCCAGTCTCTCACAGCCAAGTCCAAAGTCTCTCGTCGAATTCTGGGACAGAAAGGCGCTGCAGTCGCTCTCATGCAGGCAGGAGCCTCTCGGCCACACGCCAGGCAAACCACCATCCTCACCTTCTTCAGCTCGCAGACAGGTAACGTGGGCCAGCGTGTGCCCCTGTGGGAAGGTAGTTTCAGGCTGTAAGCAGGAAACCCATCTCGCTTTATTTCTTGGCAGCTTTACTAGGCAGAAAAATGCATTTTCTAGTGAAGAGGGTAAAGGTTAAAAGTTTGAACTCTCACAAAGAATTTTATTGTGAGGGTTAATGTGGGTGCAAGCAGTTTGGTTTACTGTCACAGCCAGTCTTCGTTGGAGGGCAGCTGAACTCTGAGTAATGCACTAGGCTTTACTCCTGACAAAACTGGGGTTTTCAGTGGAACACTGGACAGCCTGGCTCAGCCTAAGCGTGACTACAAACCGCCCAGTTCTGGGTTGTCCAGGGGTATGGTGTAAAAGACAATCCGGGGTGGGGGATGAACACCCCTTCGGCCAGGGCTGAGTGTGCTCTGCGCAGGAGCAGCGGGCCTGGTGCTGCCTGGGGGCAGCTCTCCCTGCCCGGGGGCAGGGCAGCACCCAGGGCGTTACATGCTGGGTTTATTTTAAACAATAGCAGCCCTAAATTGTTGGTTCAATGCCCTTGGAAGAACAGTATTGCTGGAAATGAAAATTAATGTTACTTGGTTCAAAGAGCCTCCCCGTAAGGGGAAACAGCGGGAGGTGAGCGAGGAAAGCTTTTTATTAAGGGTTGGACAAAGCCTTTTCTAGAGAATGTGATGTTTAAGCCTAACTGAACCAATGAAGAGATCACAAAGGAACTGGAATATTTAGGCTAATTAAGCCAACTCATAACCTCCTGTGCTTTTGAGGCTGCTTTTGTGCTCTGAAATACAAGAAACTGGGATTTGTCCATGGGTCTCAACAAATGTGGAGAGAAATTAAATGGCTGCAGGCACCAGCAGTGTAGGATTGTGTAGTTGTTTGTACGCTGTGGGCTGTGTAAGGGCTGGTTCATCAACACTGAGCTACGCTGGTGATAAGCAGATGAGAGGAAGCATTGCATAAATTGTATAATTTAATTATCTGGCAGAATTTTTGTGTTGTGACTGGGCTATTGATGGTTTTTGCTTTGGATCTGTTACATTCCTACTCCTTTCGAATGTGTTGTGTGCTTTCCTTTTTTTTTTTTTTTATTCCTTCAATTGATTGCATTTACTTATTCACTGTGTGTGGTGAATTCATTGAATGCTGCTGCTGCTCATCCAAGGTCTGTAGGATTTAAGATGCTGGAATTTTTTATTTTTTTTTTTTAGCTTATCCTGAATTGAGGATGAGCTTGCTTATATTGAGAAGTTATATTAGATTTTAAATGGTTTCAGAACCAAATGTGGGACTTGCTGCCTTCATCAGGTGATGGATTCACGCTGTAGTTTCACGGTGGAGGTTTTTTTGGGTAGCTCTTGAGCTGCTGCTTTTAAGGGGAATATCATGGGTGAACTGCCTGGAAAGCTGAGGGGATTAGGGTAGAGAAGCCAGTGACAAGCAGCTGGAGGTGCAGCTTTTGCACCTCACTTGAGGAAAGTTTATGTTTTTGAGCTGCTCCAGCACTCCAGGCTGCCGCTGCATCGCAGCCTCGGCAGCACAAATTCGGGTCGTGGCGAGGCGGCGGCGGTGCCGCTCTGGTGTGGAACAGTCCGTGTGGCACGACTCGAGGGAGCAGCGAAGCTGCAGTTCTGAGTCAGGCAGCAAGGAATGGAGCTGTGGGTAGTGATAACCCTGAGAAATGTGAGTGCCAGCTCTGGCTGTGACCAGTTCTGTGTTGTTTTCAGATGAAACAGACAAAGAAAACTTCAGGCCACCTCCTTTCAACCTGAATAAAGACTCTAAAGAAAAAGGTATTTCTCTGGCTGCTGCCCCTGTGAAGATCTTGGCTTTGCCGCAGCTGGGGGAAGCCCAGAAACAACCCTTTGGGTTCGAGGGGACGGCGCAGGTGACGCCCCAGCGCCATGCACAGGCAGCACCGGCCTCGCCGCCTCCTTTGCCAGGCTCTGGGTTGTTACCGGCGGAGTCCCACAGCCCGAGGGAAACCTCCTGTGGGGCGGAAGAGGATTCCTGCTGCTTCAGCCTCACCCAGGATTCAGAGGGCAACCGGATCATCGCACACAGAAACAGGTCTGGTTTATTGGCTGGAGAAACCCTTCCAGAGGGTGGGATAGTGGAGCGAGAGGAGGCCAAGACCAGACTGGATTTCCAACCAAGACTTGGTGCAAGCCGGAATAAGAAACCGCACTCCTCGAGTAGTGTTGATTCCTTAACTGATTTCTCTGAAACTGAGAATATAAATCCTGCTCTAACGGGAGACAGTACCTGGGCTGCCGGGTTTTATTCATCTCCACGCCGAGCAGCTCGAGCACAGCCCCTGCGGGAGTGTGGCCGCTCCCCCGGCGCTGCCTCAGCCGAGGGCCGTGAGGCGGGACGGAGCCGTCCCTGCAGTCAGCTCTTCACCCAGGATTCGGAGGGGAACAGAGTCATCGCCCACCGGTGCCGGGACGCCCCGCCGCCTCCTGGGGGCGAGGGCAGCGCTGGTAGGCAGCTGCCCGACTCTCCCTGCGGGGTTCGCTCCGGCCATGCTGCGAGGAGCTGGAGCGAGGCGCGGGAGCAGCCGTTAGAGGTGTGCTACGAGTCGCTGTTCACGCAGGACTCGGAGGGGAACAGGGTGATTAAACACTGATCAGGGACGTGACTGCTTGTGAAGCCTTTTTTTTGTAAGTGTTGGGAATTAGGTAAGTGTACTCACTGTTTCTATATGTACAGTCTAGCCAGCAGATGCACTAGATCTGTGCCAACAGGCAGGACCTCCTTGTTCTCTGAAATTTTGCTTTAATAAAAATAAAATTTAAAAGGAATATTTATAATGGTTTTGCTGTTTCAATCCTGATTGGCAAAGGCCTGGCTTTAGTCCTGCCTTGGTGTTCATGTAATGTGCTGCTGTCTGGCCTGAAGGAGCCCGCTGCTAACAAAAATGTCTGTGTCTCTTAGGATCCTGGAAGTCCAAATGTAAAGGTTTTCTAGGCTTGGCTTAGGAACTGCACTGTCTACTTCATGCCAGCTGCCTCGAGGAAGCACCGGACTCAGCTACATTCTTATTTCAGGACTGTGGTTGTGCCACCCCTGTCCGTGGGAGTGTGTGGTGGGGACAGGAGGGGCCATCGCAGCGCTGAGCTGCTGCTGCCAGACTGACTGACCCGAGGTTTGAAGTGAGGAAGACTCTGACAAAGAGAAGGAATTCTGAGAGCAATTCCATTTTGGGTAAGTCTGGACTAATCCCGATGTTGGACTCGGGGCTCTTTCAGGGGTGGGATGCACCGAGGTGGAGCCGGGGGGGGCTGCAGCTGAGCCGTGCTCCTGCAGCTCCTTCAAGGCCATGGTTGTGGAGGGGTGTGCTTCAAATTCTGCCTGTTCTGAAGTGCAGGGACCAGCTGCTCCCAAACCCCAGGGGGTCACGAGCCAGAGTCCATCTGCCACCAGGATCACACTCCAGAACAGCAACCTGCTCTGTCAGCAGAAACAGCCCACTTCTTTTACTTTTTTTTTTTTTTTTAAATGTCAAGTAGGTCTTTAACAGTGTAAGCGCTGCCCTTTAAGACATCCTGAGTGTCCCATGGGGTTAGAATTTCAATACAATAGATCCGACAGGTGTTATGTCACAGGCCAGAAGTTAATTGTGCTAATGGGCTCTTGGATCCAGCCTGCACGCTGGGGTGCAGCTCTGTCCTACCCCACCAAATCCTTATGCAGAGGAGCCTCCCTGGGGCAGAGGGATCGTGTGGCCCCGTGCTCCCGGTGTGCATCCGGGAGGGAGAACCTCTGTCAACTCTCTACAAAAGTGATTAAGTCATAAATACTCTCTCTGCTCCCCCACACTGGGTGGCCAGAGGCAGTGCAAGCCTCTTCTCTCGCCTTTAACCTAATTTTTCAAGGGTTGATTAAGAAAATCCTTCAGCTGCAGCAGCTGAAATTCCACCCCCCGAAGCTCCCCAAGATCCACCCCCCTGCTGGCGTGTTTAGAAATCTGCACAACCATAATATCAAGGACAACCGTTGTCTTATTAAGGCTCCATTTTATATAAAGGAAAAAAAAAATCATAAATACAGCCATGAGGAACGTTGCAGAGAAGGTGTAGCTGAAGGAAACCTCTTCAGTGAGAGCTGCAGCCACAGGCAAGGCCAAGTTCCTTCTGCCCTTCCCGGCAGACAGCTCTTGCGGTGGGTGCTTGGTTCTTAGCATCGGTGGTTCAATAAATAGACCCTTCTGAATGCTAAATAAAATACGTTATCTGAATACAAGGACTATTAATGAAACATTCAATTACTGGCAAGAAATTAAGGCCATTCTGTCATGCAACTGCGGGGATCCCTTAGGCGTGACTGAGCGCTTTGATCGCTGCCGTTTCATCCTCCCGCCGGCTCGGAGCTGCCTCTGAGCGCTGAGCCCAGCACCTCCTCACCCCCAGCGTTAATTAGCTGGTGCTCAGCTGCTCTCTGCTGTACGCAGCACAGAGAGAACTGGATGTCCAACATCCCTTTATACTGGAAATGGTAACTAGTTCTATTTAAGGGCCGTTATATATTAATGCTTAGTTTGAACCTAAGGAAAACTGTAGGTAGAAAGAACATCCTCCAGCAGCACTCGTTGCACTCTTCAGAAGATCCTTATCAATAATCAACATCAAAATACAGGTGGAAAAGAATTTCCATCATCTTAAAAAGTTTTTTTTTTTTTTCTTAAATATAACAATACATGGAAAACACATCAAATCCATAGGGGCTTTCCTAAGTGTCCAGTGCAGAAACCATTTCTAATTAATAAAAGAGGCAAAAGGCTCAATCCTTAGGAAGGCAGCTACTGTGCAGAAAATTCTGGGAGCATAACACTTTTGCTTATGAAGTTTAATGACAGTAACATCATTTCTCCTTCAGGGCCAGATCCTCATCCTTTAGGGCAAATTTTCTCCTCAGAACTTCTGCTATAAGAACAGCTGGGTCTTCCTCCTTCATTGACGTTCGGTTTCTACACAGAAGACAAAAGCAGAGCGTATTAATAAAAAGAAGTGCCAAAATTGATGGTTTACAGCTCTGATGAGTGTCTTTTAAGTATTTTTCTGCAGCCTTTGTCATCAGCTTTTGTTGCAAGTGGAGGAGGTGCAAGAACAACAAAACAAAATAACAAAAAAGCAGCCAAAAATTCAGCTTTCATGTTGGCTTAAAAACCTGGAGCTCCTTTTGTGGATCAGTGGGTATCCTGAAAATCTTGGCATCAAAGCCCTTTATAATTTTCATTCAACTGTGTTAATAACAAGTAAGTAAAGTAAAACTTCATTAGTTATTTACAGCCTACATCCCCTCACTATAAAGCTACAAGTGGTGTGGTGGTTTGGTTGATTTGCTCTACAGTGAATGTACGCTTTCATATTTAAATATGGGTAATTACTGATAATTTCAAGGGGGCTGGTACACATTTCTCTCCACTTCGCTACTGCACACGAGGTTTTTCTGTAGCATTCGGTTATCAAAGCCTCCTGCCTCTTTCTGCAAGCTCAAACAAGCAGTTCATGTTTGAAGTGTTAGTGAGTTTATTTTACAGGAAGCTGAAACCCAATTCCTTTTCCTCAGGTATCACAAATTGCTCACTAAAGTTTTATTTAGAACCTGTAATAATAATAATAATTTCAGAGTTTAACTTTTTTTTTGTTAAAATAGCTGAATTCCTCCCTTGGTCAGAAAACATTTTGGGTGTTCTACACATTCCTATAAGAAAAAATCCCCCCGGTGTGTTTCCGTGTGTGTGTTGGTGAGGGGCTGGTTCTCAGCAGAGCTCTGTCAGATGTCGCTGAGCTGCTCCCGGGCAGCCCTTAGCGCTGCGCCAGGTTTCTGTCTGAAGCAAGTTCTTCGTTCACAGTTGTATAAACGTGTTGCCATTTGAAAGATGATTCTGTAGCCAGAAGCAGGTGCCGTTGACTCCATCCAGAGGGAAAAGGGTGTGGAGAAAAAACAGCTCAGGGGCTGGAGTCCTCCCCAAACCCTTCCAGAGGCAGAGCTGAGAATTCAGAGTTACCCGAGTGTCGGAGGAGGGATGGGGGAGACAGGAGCAGCGGGAGGAGGAGGAGGTGATGCAGCCTGGGTGCAGCCTCTTGCAAGGGGAACCTCTCCAGGAGGAGCAAAGAGACCGAGAACCCCCAGTGGGGTGAGAAAAGGACCCTCTGCTACCCGGGGGCACAAGCGTCCTGCAGCCAGCAGCAGAGCAGGGAGCATGGCATCCCCCCTCAGTGCCACAGCCAAGGGCCAAGGAAATCATCGTGGAAAAAGGCAGTTGTTCAGTCCCAGGGTAGTGCTTACACGTAGAAGTGTCCTCCCAGTCCCTGTGTTTAACCCCCAGCAGGCACAGGGCCTGGCCACTGCACCAGCCTCTAGTTCCCGTTTGCTGGAACATGCGCGTTTCTGCAAAGCGTTTCTCACTCATTCCCGAAGCTTCCAAGGCTGCGTTTAAGCACCCAGTCCTAAACAGGAGCATCTCTGTCACTGGCTCATTAAGCATCGAGTACCGTCATCCCCTGGATGAGTCCATGAGCCTTTTAAGCGTTACGAGTCCTGACCCTGTGCCAGCACAAAAGCTCTGTGTAACCCAAGAGTAGAGCTGTAGGAGCACTGCACCGACACCTGAGGACGGTGTCTAGGACCTAAAGCTCATCAAGTAATGAACAGCAGGGATTTATTTAATGTGATTCTTCAAACAGCTTTAATTAAGACATACTAACCACTCCCTAAAACATCACTGTTGCATGTAGGAGGCAAGTTAAAGGCTGGGAAATAGGTGAGAGGAAAATGGTTCAGCTCCAGCAAGAAACAGTCTCAAGCTTTCCTCTTAAAGCCTTCCTGGCCTTGTGGCAAGCAGCAGAAGGGACAAGTGTCACCCAGGTCCTGGCTACTCAGTCAGGCCCTCACAAGGGGTCCTGGTGATTCAGTTCCTTTGCCCACCGTCCCCAGCGAGGGGGGATTTGGCTGCTGTCCCCTTCCCCAGGTACAAACCCCTCCCTCTCCCCTCTCCTCTAACACCAAGAAGAACCAGCGCTGTTGGTAAATCCTTTGTGCACAAGTCGTCTCTCCCTCCCACTCACTCCCACAGCTTCTCTCCCAGGGTAACGGCAAGATCAAACACCCTCATCCATTAGTGGCTGTTCTCATATGTTCTGTGGAGGAAATTAAAGTCAAATTGTGACCCACCATTATCTCCCTGTCACCTACAAGCTGCTTCTCACAGCCTCCCCCAGCCAGCACCTGCCTCCTCGTGACTGCGCCAGCGCTGGCAGAGCAGTTGTGGCGTGGATCAGAAAAGCCTCCCCTCTCCCTACTATAATCTGTGTTTCTACAAGTTTTTTCTTCCCCTGAATAATACACGTTTCCCTGCCTTCATCTGACACAGATGGCAGCAGTTTTCTTACCCTGGAAAGTCTGCTTCCATACAGCTGACATACCAGTCGGCACTAATTAGAGATTGATAATTACCTTATTACATGTGAATGCTTAGTCCTAGAGGTAGACGTGTTTCTGATAAAGCTAAAACATTACATGTCACAACATGAAGCATCCACAGGCTTTTCTAGACCAAACAGCCAGTGAACGGCCACTGGAAAGGCACAGTCCTAACGGGTTAAGTTTTAAGTTAGCTAAAGCCTGACCCAGACCCCTGCTGAGCCAAGGTGGAGGGGGGATGCACACAACAGGAGGATTTATTTTTTTTTTTGAGAATTCTCTCTGCCTAATAATTCAAAATTATTTTTGGATGCCCAAAGCACCGCTTTGCAACAGACAGAAAGAAAGAAGAGGAGCAATTTGTCTGTGGTCCGTGAATCCTACTCACCCCCATGGAAGATTACAGGCGTTTATATAAAGCAAGTGAGTGGTTAAGCTTTCAGGAACACAAGAGCAAAAGGGTACGCTGTGTGAATTATGGATGTGTGATTCCGTCCTGACATTCTGGATGCAAGCTGAACATATTTCTTCTCATTTGACTATATAATTTTTTCAGTGCTAAGAATTTAATTTCTTTTAAGCTGAATTAGGCATAAAAATTGTGAACAGCCGTTACACAACGTGTTATTTTTGGCCAGGAATTTTACTCACACAACATAATGGCTGGATAGATCTTTGGGCTGAAAAATGTGGAAACTGAACTTTATCCCTGTGCTTTCCCATGTGAAGCGAAGGCGGTTCAGGCAGCTCCTTTCTCAGCAGGGCAGAATCCTGCAGCTGGCAGGTCAGCGTGGGGCCTTCTCGTGATCCATGTGTAAACTCATCATGAGACAAGTGAAAACTCCCGGCTGCCCACGCTCAGAGCTGGGCCACATGCAGAAGCTGAAAAAGCTGCCGAGCTGCCCGACCGCTTGGGTCCGTGCGACAACTGAGCAGCAGCACCTGGGCCCACCCTCGCTGCGACGCTGCCAGCACACACAATGCTGGTTTTCATCAGGGCAAACAAGATTTTTTTTTTTTTTTTTTTTTGGGGGGGCGGGGTGTTGAACAAGGTGAAACAGCCAAACGTTGTGCTAATTGGTTTCAGTTCCTCTCCACTGCTTTCTATCCAGGCGGGTCAGCCATCAATTAAAAAAATCCCCAGAAACGCGTTGGCGAGTTCTACCATAAACAGATATTTCCCCCCTGTAAATCATGAATAAAGAGCAGCACCAACGAGCAGTGAATGCAATGTCCAGCGTCTACAATGATCTGACAGACAAAAAAAGATAAAATAAAATTGAGAGGGTTCAGGAAGCACTTACAAGTCTTTGCTCTGCTTCATCCTATGAATGTCTTTAAGGATGCCCATCATGTCTGCAAAACTGCTGGCCTTTGAGAGAGACACCGAATCTTCCTCGTCAGGGTCCTTGGGGTCTGGTTTACAACACTCAGAGGCTGCAGAACAAAGCATGGAGACCGACGGGAGCTCGGGGCTTTCGAGTTCTGCCTCCTCCTCTGTGATATCACTAATGACAAAGGAAGTTGTAGATTGGAAAGAGGGTCCAAAACAAGGTAAAGGAGAAGATGCATTGGAACTTCCTGGAGATAGTAAGTCTGGTGTTAATGCAGCAGAAGCTGAAAAAGAGAACAGTATAGGTGGATAGATAAACTCATACCCAACCAGGTAGGTATTTTTTTTTTTCCCCAGAACAACAGAATGTAAATCAAGAGGCACCATCAGCCAGCCTCCCCCACACTACAAGAAAACAAATTCATCCTGTTCTCTGTTACCCTCCGTGTCCATCAACAACCCCGTGTGGCAACATGAGCCCTTCTCCAGTACCTCTTACCCCACCGACCCCCTCGTGTATCTCTGCTCTGATTGTGCCCATCACTGTCTCACCCCTCCAGGCCAAATGCTGCACCCTGTCCCGGCACAAGTCGGGTAATGTTTGCTTTTTCCATTTTTACAGCTCAGAAATAGAGGAGCAGAGGTTTTAGCTGCTGTTCTGGGTCACAGTGGGAGCCTGTTTCACAGTGTAGGTCTAAATTGTCTTAACTTTTCTCCTCTTCATCACCTCCAGAACCACTTGCCTGCCTTTTCCTTCCAGGCTCCTTCCCCCATAACCATTGGGCCTGGTGAGATGGCAGAGCTGGTGCAGGAGCTCCAGCGTTTTACACTAGAGGGTCCCAGCAGTTCACTCCCTGACCACAGGCTTTCTGGCCTGTCTTGCTTCCCATCACCACCCTGTAAAATGAGAACTGCATCCACCTATTCCCCAGGGAAGATGGGATTTATTTGTTCGTGCTTTAAAATGCACCAAGAACAGCTATATAAATTCCGAGTGTTATGAAGTGAAAATGAGTTAGATATTTCCAGTGTAAAACAAAAAAGCAAAACCCCAGAAAAATGCTTAGTGCACAACTCCTTGAGAGAACCTTCCTGTACTGAAAACAAACTGTACCTTAAAGCACTAACGCCCTTGGCCTCAAGAGTAAACCTGTAGATAGTTATCAATTTCCAATTAAGGGATTTCTCTAACAGTATATAATAAAGCAGATTGCACAATATTTCTTTTTTGACATCAATCTTTCCAAAATAAGCCTGGCTAAATAGTTATCTCCTTCATCAGATTACCGAGCTACAGCTAGGCCCTAAATCACAGCTCCCCATTATTGACTTTGAGGACGCAAAGTCAATACGAGCTGTTCTCAAACGCCAGCTGATAACAACCAGGCCTGCTGCCGAGTGGAGAGGGAAGAAGGAAAAGGTATTAAATGATTAAATCATTTTTCTCCCATCTGGATCTCTAATTTTCCTCGTTATTACTCTGCTTGAATTAAAATGGACTTTTCTATCACACAGCCTGAGCAACTGTAGAGCTGAGGCAACACTTTGAAGGAGAAAAGTCACAGGATTTCCCATTCTTTATTCCAGTTTGGTTGCTCCTCTGATCTCACCTGAAGAAGAAAGAGGACACACGCAGCCTCTCTGAAGGGGACATCTGTGGGGCCTTGTTTTATGCTTATTCCCTGCGGAGTTGAGGGTAATGTGGCTCCCTCCCCTCCTGAGCAGTTTCATCTCCCCACGCTGCTGTCAGAGTCGAGGCATGCGGCACGCAGGACCCCGTGTGCTGTGACAGGGAACACCCGCCCAGGAGGTGGGTGCTCTGAGAGCGTGTGGATCGTCCAAAATACCCAATCTCACCTAAATACAACTTTGCATGCTAAAAATATCCCGTATATTCTCATGTGGTGACATATTATTTATAATATCGCTACCAAGTAGATTCTCAAGAGTCCACCGACCATCACACCGAAGTGGAAAAAGAAAAATCTCTCCTGTAGAAACTGGCATTTCAACTAAATCAAACACCACAACTACTCTGATGTTCAAATGTGTTTGTGGCTCGTGGACAGCTGGACAAAGTAGAAGCTGTCATTAAAGCTGCAAGTCCCGTGGGGCTACGATGGATCATGAGGGATTTGCTCCCTCCACGTGGTGCAGCACCAAGTAGCAATCCAGGAATGAAAATATTTGCTGTCAGATGTAGGATACGAAAGGTTTCATCAGTCACTGTTACCCATGACAAACAGGAATTAACCTGCCTGATACCACTTCAAGTGTGGCACAATCCTGTTTAGTGGCTTTTTTTTAAAAAAAGTAAGAAGAAAAATGATAGGTCTTTTTTCTCTGGGAAAAAGTACAGCTGTCATCTTGGGTATCAGCAAAAGTACTCTGTGTACAAGAAACGCAGCTTTTAAGAAAAACTGTCTCCAAGGAGGACTAAATTCCTTTAGTTTGCAAAACTGTTCAATGTTTTTGAGTTGGGACATCAGCAGCTCTCTGCCTTCTGAACACTCCATAAAGAGACACCAAGGAATTTCTATCTTACTGGTTTCCACGCTCTAAACCAGCCGCTGTTGCTGGGAGCTTGGTAGAACCACTGGGATTTAGATCCTACCAAATCTTTCCATTTTCAGAGGTGAGTATACTGGGAAAGCCATGAACGGAAGAGAACGTCACAGTTCAGCTTTGTGGCTAAAACATGGCTCTTAGTTGTATACAGATTTACTAAAAGAAATAAGTAAATTGGTTCAGCTAGGCTTTCCCACAAATACTTTATTTGCTACAAAAATGGCACTGTCCTTTCCACAGAACAAACACCGAGATCTCAATCCTGCCCAAATCAAGGTGTTAACTCTCACTCATGGCTGACTGGGAGCAGGAACGGCAAGAATACACCAAAAGTTCTCATGAAAAAAGGTGCTGGAGATGATGGTCAGCCTCTAGATCAAATGCAGCAAACACAGTTATTTATTAAAAACAAGCAGGATCCCTCCAACGAAACAGATGCAGACATCTCAACACAGAACCAGCACTGAGCTGACACCAGAGGTGGCCCCTCACCAACGGGAGCCACAGCTCTGCTGGAAAAACAACACAAGTCTGAACATGGTTCACCAACAGCCCTCCTCGTTCAACAAAAAAACGCTCGTTATAGTCCTACCTGACTCTGCAGCGACTATTTTAGCGATCTGACTCCGAAGGTGACTCAGCTCGTCCTGGAGCTCTGTGGTTCGGCTCAGTGCTGGCAAACCAGGTTTCTTCAAGGCGAGCAGCTTCTCCTCCTGCTTCCTCAGGTTGGGGACCGAAGCATTTCGCTGTATAACGGTGAAGGGACTCGGCTTCCACTTGTGCTTCAGCGGGCGAGTGTCACTTCTACAGGACAGAAACCTGTTGGTCATTTACAAAGCCCAGACCCCTCCGTGACAACATCGCTGGGCAGCGCTCTGCCCGCACCCCAGGACAGCAGAAGATTTCAACACAATAAATGAAGCCTCTGCAGCACTGTGCTGTAGGTACCACTGGAGGTGCCGCCTCTGTGTTACAGGGAACAGAAATCATGACCCAACGGCACAAGATGCGGTGAGAAAACGCAGGGACAAAAGTCTGGGCATGCTCATGTGGTTTCAAGTAATTTCTCAGCGTGTTCCCACGCTGGGCAGTGCACTGGGTGCACATGGGGAACGTCACTTACCCATTAGCTTTTGCTTCCAATCACAAAGTCCATTTTATCTTTCACAAGATACCTATTACTAGTGCCCTGCTGTAAGGACAAAAGTTCAACTGACCAGAACAAAACTCCTGGGAGCAGAACATTTAAATCCCAGGAGAACTCAACTCTTCAACTTTCTAAGCAGAAAATACCATAGATCAGGGGGGTTACTCTGCACAGATCTTTCAGTGAATAAAACAGGGCGTGGCAGAGGCTCCTGGCACTTCCTACAGAATTCCTCCCAGTGTTCTTTGTCCAATTTTTTTTTTTTCCCTGTCTCTTAGGAAAAATGTTTTTCAACATGCAGCACATCAAACCTTGAGAGGACTGGAAGTTCTGATCATTTAACCAGTGTCTGGCCTATGCTGTGAGAAATAAAGCAGTGTATGAAAATAAGGACCAGTAAAGAGAAAACCAGCCTGACTCTGGCATAACGACACAAAGAGAAAACCAACCTGACTCTGGTGTATGTTTCTTCATCATCTGCTGCTATCCACACAATGTCTGCCAAGGTGGGGACTGGAGGAACATCATTTAAATAGAGTTCTGAAACACTTGGTAGAACCTAAAAAGGAGAGAGTTACATTAAGGAGAGGGTGGTTCTGTCTCCTGAGGCCGCCCCAGCGGGGCTGCACTGGCTGTCAGAGCCTTTCTGCCCTGCCCCAGGGCAGCAGCTGCATCTGTCAGGTGTGACAGCAACACCACCGGGCTCCGGGAAAGGCAGCGCTTCCGCCTGTCGCCTCGGGCCATGTCCTGGGGCGCGCTGCTGTGCTCTGCGGGGCCTCGAAGGGACACTGGGGACAGCCCAGCACGCTGCCAAGGCCACGTGCAGCACTTTCGCACTACAAGTCCCAGCCCTGTCCTTGAGCTTAAACAGGGGCGGAAGCGTTTCCATAAACCCTGTTTTACTCTTTAGGAAACACAGGCCCAGAGGGCATGGGGCTTGCTGGAGGTCACACAGCAAAGCACTGCTTCAGCAACATCACGTTTCTGCCTCCTCCAGCTCCCTAACCCAGTCCACAGATGCTATTTTAGGAGGTATTTTCCACAAGTTGCCAACGATCGTTTTACAAGAACAGAATTGAAAAAAGAAGAAATAAAAAAAATCTTAAAACTATACTGCTACGTGAGCTTAGTGAATACGACTCTGCAGACACCCGGCTGACAGAGCAGCAGCTCGTGGCGGTGCCTTGTCTTGCGCAAGAACAGCAGCTTCCCATACACAATCACCAGATCCCTTAGGCCCCCGCTTACCTCAAAGGTTGCTCTGGGACAGGGTTTTAAGGGGAGGTTTGACCCGATCCTCCTGACAACGCTCCGTGCTGAGCCGTGGGGTTTGTTCTGCCAGATGGGGATCGTCTACAAGAAGCCATGTGATATAATTCAATATTTCAAGTCAGTTGCCCTTCTTAAAATGTATTAAATTGGAAATTGT